GCGACCCTCAGATTGTGAGTCGAGCGCCTTATCCACCTGGTCATGCCGGGCACCCTAGAAGCTGTGTATAAATTTCAAGTGATATATACACGCTACAAGTCAAATCATGTATTGTATGTTATGAAATAAAGATGTGCTATCATTTCTCAATTTATACAAGCAGCTTTTGAAATCATAAGAAATAACAACGAAGTCTCTTTTCAATAAGCAAAAAAATAACATAAAAAGGCATTATATCCAAAGACAGATTGTGAAACATATTTTTAAAGGTAATATTATAAAGACTCTCTAATGACAGGTTTTCATCCTCTTAATTCCAACCAGATTTAGAAGTTCAATGGAAACTTTAAAGTTCACATCAACATCCTAATTACCTCACATTTTGCAATCAGCCTATAATTGGTTAAGAACACAGGCACAACTTTGAAGAAGTCCTACTTCATTCAAATTAAAACCTTGAAACAAATAAAATGTTCTTACCACTTTTTTTTAAGTTCTTTATGCATGATTAGCTCTTTTTTTTAAAGTAAAACCTAAAACACAATGGTGTGTGTGTGTGAGCGTGTATGAGGTCAATATATAAAAAGAATGGTCATGAAAACATAATCATATTCTGGAAATCAACAATTATTGTTAGAGTTGACAGAAGCACATTTAACAGAAGTATTGGTACTAAAACATCCTCCAGGTCAGAAATATATAAATCATGATATTAAATTTTCATTTTACAAATCAGTGATTTTTCCTGTAGAGAACTTTATTTTTTCACTTTTGATGAGTTGCAGTAAGACAAATATTTTACTATGTTGAAACTAAATTCCATTTATCTTTGTAAGCTATAAATTCACTTGCAAAGGCACCCAGCAATGATTGACTCAAAAACAAAACTGGGGGAAATGGGCCACCCTCTTCCATTATTTGGACCAATAGTCCATAAACCACACATTCATCCAATTCAAAGGTTTCTGATGTTACATTACAACATCATCCAATTCAAAGGTTCCTGATGTTACATTACATCATCATCCAATTCAAAGGTTTCTGATGTTACATTACAACATCATCCAATTCAAAGGTTCCTGATGTTACATTACATCATCATCCAATTCAAAGGTTCCTGATGTTACATTACAACATCATACAATTTAAAGGTTCATGATGTTACATTACAACATCATCCAATTCAAAGGTTCATGATGTTACATTACAACATCATCCAATGTAAAGGTTCCTGATGTTACATTACAACATCATCCAATGTAAAGGTTCCTGATGTTACATTACAACATCATCCAATGTAAAGGTTCCTGATGTTACATTACAACATCATCCAATGCAAAGGTTCCTGATGTTACATTACAACATCATCCAATTCAAAGGTTCCTGATGTTAAATTACAACATCATCCAATTCAAAGGTTCATGATGTTACATTACAACATCATCCAATTCAAAGGTTCCTGATGTTACATTACAACATCATCCAATGTAAAGGTTCCTGATGTTACATTACATCATCATCCAATGTAAAGGTTCTTGATGTTACATTACATCATCATCCAATGTAAAGGTTCCTGATGTTACATTACATCATCATCCAATTCAAAGGTTCCTGATGTTACATTACAACATCATCCAATGTAAAGGTTCCTGATGTTACATTACATCATCATCCAATTCAAAGGTTCCTGATGTTATATTACAACATCATCCAATTCAAAGGTTCCTGATGTTACATTACAACATCATCCAATTCAAAGGTTCCTGATGTTAAATTACATCATCATCCAATTCAAAGGTTCCTGATGTTACATTACAACATCATCCAATGTAAAGGTTCCTGATGTTACATTACAACATCATCCAATTCAAAGTTTCCTGATGTTACTTTACAACATTAATCATCACTTCTATTTGACCAATGACCTCCTCTTTCAGTGGAGCCCCTCATTCACATTATTAAAGCAATAAAACTGAAACGCTTATCAAGTTAAACTTAAATCTTGGTCTACCCAGAGTTTCTCTACCAAACTTAAACAATGTGGACACCAAACAGAATATTCTTATTAATATATATATTGATAGATAGATTCCAAGTACTTTAATATTAATGATTAAAATGATTTTCCATGGTGTTTATGATATAGAAAAATGTCTCCCTCAACTTTACAGAAAATCAAAATAATAACAGCTGCTGAACAATCATTGATATACTATTACTGTAAGCTAAATTACTACTTCATGACACATGTGTTGGTGTGTCTTTCCGCCAGGGGGCGTTATTCAACAACCCGGGAAACATTTGCACTGTCACTGGATATGGTTGCCGCGGAGATGGTTAGTTCTAGTACCAAACATTAATTCAGAGAGGATATTATCTTAGTTACATTCTTTAAGGTGATTTGTTTACTAAAGTAATGTAACCTCAGTAGTTACATTTGTCAAGGTGATTTGTTTACTAACATTCTAAACAAACTTAATGTTTTCAGACTAATAATAACCAATGAGTTTCACCCATTTTTACTGTGAATGTATGCAGCATCAACACGATCAGAGTATCATTCTTGTCAAATCCTCATTTTCACTCGGGTGCACTGGATTCAGAGTTTTTACCTTAGTTTGATAAGTGTTATTCTAATTAAGTTGAACTATATTTATTCAAAATCCAGCAACTCTAATGAATATGGGTAAATGTTAAACAGGATCTTGTATCATACAAAATTTATGGTTTCACATACGTCAAAAATAGGAGCGAACAAAACTTATGTTTACCACTTCTTGGCTACTTCCTCCCGTAGCGACTTCCACCATAACACTTTCACCTTTCTATGGGAAAGAAGAAAAAACTTTAAAAAAAGTAAAACATCAAAACTTAATTGTTTAACCTTTGTAAAAATAAGAGCACAATTTATGCTTAAATTCCATCACAATGTTACTAGTATTTTTATAAATGTAGCGTAAAACTACCATTTAATAAGACTACTACGTGATTACACTTATTCAATGAATTATATCACTCATATATAATTGTTTTCACTTATAACCACAATATATCTCCCAATGGCAAAGGTTAAAGTCCTGCATACAGTTCAATAAAATAGGAGTCAAAAACTTGATAGAGTTAAACAGTAAAAATACAAACCACTTAAGAGTTCAGTGAAACATTATTTGAGATAGGGAGCAAGAGAGAGAGATGAAACTGGCAAAGATACTTTATGAAGGGCAGCAAATGAAAAACGTTCTAATTGAAATTTTAGCAATGAAATAGCATTAAACAATGAAAAATTTAAAGAAACAATTAAACCTTATCTCACCATCTTTTTTTTTTAAATACAGCAAAGTATCTGAGAACAAATAACTAAAGATGAAGTCCCTGTTCCCTAGAAGTTTTATAAATGTCCGTAACTTTTTTTGACAACTGTACAATTTTGTATGTTTAGAATTTAAGACTTTTTTTTCAAACTAATTCATTTTCTAATTGTCATTTTTTATACTACAAATGAAAGTATACATAAATATGTTTTTGTCATCTTGTTGAAAGGCTGGGGAAAAGTTTTTCTTTTTTAAATTATGTGTTTCACATCATGGTTTCTCTCTGAATAGTCATGTCTGATCCCTGAATTGTATAGATTTCATCAAAATATTTGTAGAAGACTTTCAACTGTAGGAAAGATTTTATTACAAGTTCCAGTTTTTACAGTAAGGAAGATTATTTTTTAGAACAGGCATGAAAGATTATACATATTAATTGTGGTTGTTCTTTGCTTTGCAATCATTTAACACAATAGTTTATTTCAAAACTTTCCTATGTGCCAACAAACTTTCCTGTTTTAATTACATCATACATTGTCTAAACTTTTTTCCATGTACCTATACTTTCCTGTTTGAATAGTTTGTTTCTTTTGAATTTTGCGCAAAGCTACACAGGGGCTATCTGCACTAGCCGTCTCTAATTTAGCAGTGCAACACTTGAGGGAAGGCAGCTAGTCATCACCACCCACTGCCAACTCTTGGGCTACTCTTTTACTGACGAAGAGTGAGATTGACTGTCACATTATAACGTCCCTAGAGCTGAAAGGGCGAGCAAATTTGGTGGGATGGGGAATAGAATCTGCGACCCGCAGATTGCGAGTCAAGATCCCTAACCACCTGGCCATGCTGGGCTCCTGTTTGAATTACATAATACTTTGTCTAAACCTTTTCCCATGTACCTATACTTTCCTGTTTGAATTATATAATACTTTTTCGATGACGAGGAACCCACTTGGAGACTAATAATGCTTGAAGACAACTTGAATGGGTAATTAGAAAAAACTTTAATATAAGTTTAACATAACAGCAAATGTGAACAACATTTCAACAAGGTTTTGTCATCATCGGGTACTAGCACAAACAGTTGCCCTATAGGTGGCATTTCTGCTAGTAAAATTAAACCTGCTATGAAGGTTGTCTGAAAAATTTCACTCCGTTTTCATACCTACAACTTAAGTGTTAAGAAATAAGTAACAGATTTTTAAAAAGCTTACACAAATTATTAAACTATGAAGGAAAACTTACATAAATATAATAAGAAGCATATTACGAGAACTGAAAATTGAAGACAGTTACAATTATAATAATTAAAGTAACATACTTACTGCAGTTAAAAATGGTGTAATGAAAACAAAGAAGATGTCATAAAAAAAGAGGAGGACTAGAAGAACGGCACAAATCTATTTAAAAGAAAGTTAAAACAGATTACACAATGTACTAGAAGAAATATTAGAACTTGAAATTATTAATATCACCTACAAGAATCTAAAGTGGTAAACAAACTTTTGTTAATTCTAAAGTAAACAATTCAAATAATGATAAAGATTCTGCTAAAAACATTGTTAAATGACAAGAAACTATTTATAGAAAACTAAAGATTCATATACGTGCGTGTTTTTGTAGATATTGTCATATATTTGATTACCTTTTTTCCTCTACATAGACATTTATATTTTATTTCATTCTGAGTTGAACTTGCAATCAAAAAATCAAGGTACGTGCAACTTAACTGTTAAAAATATCACATAGATTAACTGATGGTGTCACTCATGGAGCAGGAAGATCTCTATATGTAATTAGATTAACTGATGGTGTCATTA